GGCTGTTTGAGGATCTGTTCCTCAGGGGTCACATAGGCTTGGGAGGAACCCCCTGGCTCCTTCTTTTACCAGTTCCGTCTATGTGAAGATAAGTCAAAGGTCCTACTTGACTATGGTTGGCTTTACTTGGAAGCATGGAGGAAATGTTTCCTCTGTGTTGATCCTTCTCTTTGTAGACTCGACACTGGTTCAAGTCCATCTGGTGGGGGTCTCCACGGCCTCCTTGATCAAAAGGACAGGTGACTCACCACAGTTACAGGACTTTTGAGAGATGCTCATAGTCCCCTGGAACTTAGTCGACCTAAGAGGGCAAGGAGCAAAAACTGTTTTTTATGTCCCTCTGACCAAATTAGTATAGGCCTCAAAGTATGGCTGTTGAACATCCAAGAAAGTTAGTTCCACCAGTCTGGTACTTTTAATTACTGTGTGCCATGTAAATAAATGTTGGGCAAAGACCAATTATTCTCAGATGAACCTTGCCTAGCAATTATTTCTTGACCTGGTAAATATAATTTGTCAGTAGGTTGTTGGACTAGCATGGTTCTCTCAGGTTTTTTAAACTAGCTAGGCATTGTTTATCTCTCACATTGTTCAACATCTCCATCATGGTTTTCCCAATAAAGGTGCCCCCATTTTTCCCCTTTCTCCCTTGATAATACCCTTTTCCTATGGTCCTAACTCTCTTGAGCTCCTTCTTTCCCTTTATCCCCTAGGTTCCTTGTATGCCCTTCCCTCCTCCCTCCCTTAAACTAACCCAATTTTTATCCATCTCTCCCTTATTAAGGCCTGTTTCTTACTGTTTTTCTATTTCATGTTATTTCTTTTCCTTTACCTCCCTGTTTCCTTCCATTATCCTGGTTTCTGTAGTTATGTCTGGTTGCATACTTATTTATCAGAGTCTGGTTCTAGGATCCACATATGAGGGAGAACATATGTCGATTTTTTTCTGAGTCTATGTTACTTCACTTAGTATAACAGTTTCTAGTTCCATCCATTAACCTGCAAATTTCGTGATTTCATCTTTCTTTACTGCTGAGTAAAACTCATGGATATTCTTTTATCACTTTTGGAAATAATCTTCCAAGTTGATTTGTTTATGTCAGTAATTATGATAGCTATTGAACAACAGTAATAAAGTATTTTACATATATGAATATCAGGTATTGGTAAATATACCACATATAACAAATCTGTGAGGATAAAAGATGCATAGATTATAGATACAGTCTGTTCATCTTGTACATGTTTATTCAATATGCAAGGGACTTGAAATAATGATAACCATGTAAAAACACTCTAAAGCAATTGGGTTAATAATGTTTCTAAGTAAAAATGTCTATTGTGTGTTTCTCCAGAGAAACCAGAAAGAACCCAAGCTGCTGGGATCTTGGAATGTGCTAATGTAGCTATTAACAATCTGAAGAGGGAGGCACTGAAAAATTATTGCCATGAATAGCTTACACTTAGCAGTGGTGTTTCATCAAGTTAGATTTTAAATTCCATTATGGTAAATATTTAATTATAACAAAAAATGCTACATGTACATTAGCATACCCTAGATAACACCTAATTGGCACATAAATTTTATAGAAAGGCAATCATCTTACTTATTAACACACTTTCTATGAGAATCCTGTAATGAAAGAATTAAATAATTTTCAAATAAGAGTTAACAGGATCATACACAAAAAGGTAATTGTGTGATATGTCAGGCAGTGATTTTCTTGACTCTGTTACTTATTTCTTCAGGTTCATGATTATCAAAATACTATATTTGATATCCATATACACAGCTGATATATTGCTTATCTATAAATTTTGAAAGAATTAATAAGCTACTGTGCAAGAGAGGGTTGAAAGTTCAGGAAACAGTCACAGAAAAAGTATAGGTCCATGATGTATGTTTGAAATATTTCTGCTATAATCATCATTTTTTGTGTGTGTGTTTTGGAGGCAGGGTCTCCCTGTAGCCCCAGCTGGCCTGGAACTCACTATGCAGACCACATTGGCCTCTATCTCAGAGAGATCCACCTGCCTCTGCCTCCAGAGTGCTGGGATTAAGGGTGTGTACCACCAGGCCTGGTTCATTTTATTCCATATGTACTTAATTTCTTCAAAAAGGAATACAGTGATCTAGGTACTGTGGATCACAACCATAATTTCAACACTTTGGAAGTTGAGGTAGGGAGGTTGTGAATTTGGGGCCAGCCGAGAGAGAGAGAGAGAGAGAGAGAGAGAGAGAGACAGAGAGAGACAGAGAGAGACAGAGAGACAGAGACAGAGACAGAGAGACAGAGACAGAGACAGAGAAAGACAGAGAGGAATGAATTATCAATGTAAGTACTATAGTACTATTTTCCTTAATGGAGATGGGTCTGACTAGTCTTGTATATTCATTACAAGATCTGTAAAGTTAGAGAAACTATTAAAATATTGTACGATTGACTGTTAATTTCATCTGAAATCTGCAGACAATGAATAGATATATGTTCCCAAAACAAGAAAACAAGCATTATTATTCTTTTTCATTCAAAGTTGAAATGCTTTATTAGGAGAAGTCTATCTGAAGGTGATATACTTTCCAAAGATATCCATGCTTTTAGAATTGAATGATGTTTTATATATGCACTATAACAATTTACATGAAAATGTATGTATGGTGTATATATGTGTGTAGATGATAGAAACATCATAATCCACAATCAGCAGAAAAGATACAATATTGTCAATTGAATTGCAGGAATTTCAAATATGAGATTAGATACTTTAAAATAGTAGATTCAGATATCAAAGCTGTAATGAAAAAAAAAAAAAAAAGAATACTTTCTGAGCCGGGCATGGTGACGCACACCTTTAGTCCCAGCACTCAGGAGGCAGAGGCAGGCAGATCTCTGTGAGTTCAAGGCCAGCCTGGTCTACAGAGCAAGTTCTAGGCCAGCTGGGGCTACAGGGAGACCCTCTCAAAAAGACCAAAAAAACAAGACAAAACAACAACAACAAAAAGTCCCTAAATCTCATAATTATTTTATATACTTATAGGAGAGGGAGTGCTTCCTTAATTTTTAAAATTTTTTAATTTGTTTTGAGGTAGGGTCCCACTGGCTGGCCTTAAATTCACAGAACTACACTTGCCTCTGCCTCCCAAGTGCTGAGATTAAAGGAATGTTCCATATCGCCTGGCCTAAGATTTTTTTTTCTTATATTCTATATACTTGCTGTTGTTTTGAAATAATTCTATAGTATTTACATTTATGACTTGACTAATTTCTTTTGAAGTATAATTTCTACTTTGTGCTTGCTTAGAGTGTTGGCGGAAGCATGGGATCTTTTGTATCAGATCATGCTATATTAAATACATGGAAATATTAAAAAAAAATAGTGAAAAAAAAATAGTAGATTCAGGATTATATTTAACCTTGTAAACAATTAAGTTTTAGCTTGCATTTGTCTTGCACATTTACACACATATTCATGCTTACGCACACAAATTATTTAAATTTTGTTATTTACATACATATTTTTAAAAATTAACACCAGATGTGGTGGCTCATTAATCCCAGCATTCAGGAGGCAGAGGCAGGTGAATCTCTGTGAAATTGAGGCCAGCCTGGTCAACATAGTGAGCTCCAGACTGATATGGGCTAGGGAGACCCTGTCAAAACAAACAAACAACAACAAAATCAGTCCATTATTTTGGTGTGATGTTCACACTTCCTTTCACAACTTCCTTTCTCAATTTAGCAGTGTTTTTGTCTGGGGAAAATGGATGGTGTAGCAAGCATAAACAGAAGAACAGATATTATTCAAACAGTCATTGTTCTATTTGTCTTTCATAGATGTAAAAATATTCTAATGATTATTTTGATATTTCCAAATATTTTTGAACATATGGCTTGTAATTACATTGTAAATATCAACTAGAATTTGAATTTCATATTTTAAAGACATTTAATGTCCCTGGCTTAGTGCATAATTAATGAAGGC